GGGTGGGGGTCTGGGGGAGACGCCTGGTGGGGTGGAGGTCTGGGGGAGACGCCTGGTGGGGTGGGGGTCTGGGGGGAGACGCCTGGTGGGGTGGAGGTCTGGGGGAGACGCCTGGTGGGGTGGAGGTCTGGGGGAGACGCCTGGTGGGGTGGAGGTCTGGGGGAGACGCCTGGTGGGGTGGGGGTCTGGGGGAGACGCCTGGTGGGGTGGGGGTCTGGGGGAGGCGCCTGGTGGGGTGGAGGTCTGGGGAGGCGCCTGGTGGGGTGCAGGTCTGGGGGAGGGCGCCTGGTGGGGTGCAGGTCTGGGGGAGGCGCCTGGTGGGGTGGATGGTCTGGGGGAGGTCCTGGTGGGGTGGAGGCGGGGGAGGCGCCTGGTGGGGTGGAGGCGCCTGGTGGGGTGGAGGTCTGGGGGAGGCGCCTGGTGGGGTGGAGGTCTGGGGGAGGCGCGCCTGGTGGGGTGGGGGTCTGGGGGAGGCGCCTGGTGGGGTGGTGAGGTCTGGGGGAGGCGCCTGGTGGGGTGGAGGTCTGGGGGAGGCGCCTGGTGGGGTGGAGGTCTGGGGGAGGCGCTGGGGGGTGGGGGTCTGCCGCCTGGTGGGGTGGGGGTCTGGGGGAGGCGCCTGGTGGGGGTCTGGGGGAGGCGCCTGGTGGGGTCTGGGGGAGGTGGAGGTGGGGGAGGCGCCTGGTGGGGTGGAGGTCTGGGGGAGGCGCCTGGGGGTCTGGGGGAGGCGCCTGGCGGGGCGGGGGTCTGGGGGAGGCCCGGGCGGGGGTTTGGGGGAGGCGCCTGGCGGGGTGGGGGTATGGGGGAGGCGCCTGGGGCGTCAACTGACTGTAAAAGTATTGGGAGAAGTAGACGGGAGGACCAAGCCTTGTTCTGCCGTAAGAAGGGCCCCATAATGACCTCTTTCTCTTTTTCTCCTCTCTTTTCTCCTCTCCTCAGACATCAACCTCCAGTTGGATCAACTTCCCCGTAATTTAACCGTCTTGGAGGGCAACAGCTTCACGGTGACATGCCAGGTACTAAACCGCACCCTGCCTGAGTCCCGCCTGTCCCTGGAGTGGCTGGTATGGCGGGCGGGGGGAGAGTCAGAGAGGAGAACTCTGGCCAGACTATCCACTGAAGCCATCACTCTGCCGCCCCCCGAGGAGGAGGATAGGGGGAACCCCGACCTGCCCAGCCGTCTCTTCCTATCCCAGCCGGCTCTGGGCCTCTATACCCTCACTCTTCGCACCACCGAGGAGCAGGACAGTGGGGCCTACAGCTGCCGCGTACAGGAGTGGCTTGCAGGATCCAGGACGCCAGTGGTACAAGAGGGCCGAAGACCGCTCAGCCGCCACCTATGTCAGTGTGCGACGACCCGGTGAGTGTACACAGCGGGCTGTGAAGTGTGTGTGTGGGGGGGGAGGGGGCATTAGGGGGCACAAGGAGTTCTATAGAGGCTTTTGATATATTTAACGGCTACTTTATTAGGTCCACCTTGCTAGTCCCGGGTTGGACCCCCTTTCATTCTTTGTGGCATAGAAAGTGTTGGAAACGTTCCTCAGAGATTTTTCTCCATATTGACATGATAGCACCACGCAGTCGCTGCAGATTTGTCAGCTGCACAACCATGAACTGCTGATACAAGGCAGGATGGATCCACCACACCATGACACCACCACCACCACCACCAGCCTGAACCATTGATACAAGGCAGGATGGATCCCCCACACCATGACACCACCACCACCAGCCTGAACCATTGATACAAGGCGGGATGGATCCACCACACCATGACACCACCACCACCAACCTGAACCATTGATACAAGGCAGGATGGATCCACCACACCATGACACCACCACCAGCCGGAACCATGGATACAAGGCAGGATGGATCCACCACACCATGACACCACCACCAGCCTGAACCGTGGATACAAGGCAGGATGGATCCCCCACACCATGACACCACCTCCACCAGCCTGAACCATTGATACAAGGCAGGATGGATCCCCCACACCATGACACCACCACCAGCCTGAACCATTGATACAAGGCAGGATGGATCCACCACACCATGACACCACCACCACCAGCCTGAACCATTGATATAAGGCAGGATAGATCCCCCACACCATGACACCACCACCACCAACCTGAACCATTGATACAAGGCAGGATGGATCCCCCACACCATGACACCACCACCACCAGCCTGAACCATTGATACAAGGCGGGATGGATCCACCACACCATGACACCACCACCCACCAACCTGAACCATTGATACAAGGCAGGATGGATCCACCACACCATGACACCACCACCACCAGCCTGAACCATGGATACAAGGCAGGATGGATCCACCACACCATGACACCACCACCAGCCTGAACCATTGGATACAAGGCAGGATGGATCCCCCACACCATGACACCACCACCACCACCAGCCTGAACCATTGATACAAGGCAGGATGGATCCCCCACACCATGACACCACCACCAACCTGAACCATTGATACAAGGCAGGATGGATCCACCACACCATGACACCACCACCACCAGCCTGAACCATGGATACAAGGCAGGATGGATACCCCACACCATGATACCACCACCACCAGCCTGAACCATTGATTCAAGGCAGGATGGATCCACCACACCATGACACCACCACCACCAGCCTGAACCATGGATACAAGGCAGGATGGATCCACCACACCATGACACCACCACCAGCCTGAACCATTGATACAAGGCAGGATGGATCCACAACACCATGACACCACCACCAGCCTGAAACCATTGATACAAGGCAGGATGGATCACCACACCATGACACCACCAGCCTGAACCGTTGATACAAGGCAGGAGGTGTGGTTGTGGATGGTTTTGTAAGTTGTTGTTAGTATTTTGAGTTTATTCTTTGGGTGAGTGGAGGTCATGGAGGGATTGGCGGAGAGGGGTGGAGGTCAGAATGGAGGGATTGGCAGAGAGGGGTGGAGGACACTGAATGAGGCCAGTGGAGGGATTGGCAGGGGTGGAGGACACTGAATGGAGGGATTGGCAGAGAGGGGTGGAGGACACTGAATGGAGGCCAGTGGAGGGATTGGCGGAGAGGGGTGGAGGACACTGAATGGAGGGATTGGCAGAGAGGGGTGGAGGACTCTGAATGGAGGCCATTGGAGGGACTGGCAGAGAGGGGTGGAGGACACTGAATGGAGGGGATTGGCAGAGAGGGGTGGAGGACACTGAATGGAGGGATTGAAAGAGAGGGGTGGAGGACTCTGAATGGAGGCCATTGGAGGGACTGGCAGAGAGGGGTGGAGGACAGTGTAGTGTGCCATTGTGGAGACACCTTCTATACGCTGTGGGTATAAGGAACGCCCCCAGAAATGTCACTTCCTGCTCCTGTGATTGGCTCTCTGATCTTCTCCGAGACGTTTGAGCTGCAGTGCAGACCATATTTTAGGCATCCCCTGCAAAAGGAATTTCATTTCCTCTGAGGGTTGCTCAGGTGATTATGTTGACCTGACACCGGGAGGAGAGGATGCCAAGGAGAGAAGAGTGTTCATGAAAGGAGGGGAGGGTGGGGGTTGAGGAGAGAAGAGTGTTCAGGAAAGGGGGGGAACCAAGGAGAGGAGTGTCTGTGAATAGAGCGGAAAAAATGGAGAGAAGAATGTGCAAGAAAAGAGGGGACTAGGGAGAGCAGAGTGTTTAGGAAAGAAGGGGGGGGGGCAAGAAGAGTGTTCAGGAGGGGGGGGGGGGGGGGGGTGAGGAGAGAAGAATGTTCAGGAAAGGAGGGGACTAGGGAGAGATGAGTGTTCAGGATAGTAGGGGACCAAGGAGAGTGTTTGGGAAAGGAGCGGAAACCATGGAGAATGTTTTAAGAAAAGGGGACTAGGGAAGAAGAGTGTTCAGGAATGAATGGGGGCACCAAGGAGAGAAGAGTGTTCAGGAATGAATGGGGGCACCAAGGAGAGAAGAGTGTTTCAGGAATGAATGTTCAGGAAAATATAAAAAGATCATAGAGGTGGAACTGAACTGCGGGAAATCTCTCCAGAAAAAGAATTCAATTGATACGAGGAACATGTGGGGGCCTGTGAGGAGAGGAGATATTGGAGTGACGGGAAGTCTCCGTAACCTCTAGGAACATCGGAAATACTGGAGAGATTGTAACCTGAAAGAGGAACCACAAAAGCGGATGTACCGATGTATCACTTCCTGAATGAGGCCGATGATGGAAATCCAAACCGCACAATGTAGAACAATGATCACCGCTCTCACCAATGTAAACCATGTACTACGCCCCATCCTCCGCTTCTTCACAATGGAGGAGAGGAATCCATTCATGAAATCCCCCTGGCTTGTGCAGAGAAGGCGTCAATCATGGATGGGGGGGGCGCGGAGGCGTAGTTGGGGTTTAAAGGGCCACAAACTGTTGTAAAATTGTTTTCAGGGGATTAAAGTTCCATCCACCAATTATGATGAACGATGTGGGGATGGGGGGGCTTTAAAATCCATTGAACACCAGCCGGTGAGTTCTGACGGATGGGAGCCGGTGAGGGTTGATGGATGGGGGCCGGCGAGGGCTGACAGATGGGGTCATGGTTTGGGTTCAGGGAGCCATTGTGCCATATTCAAGGCTGGTGGTTCTGATGAAGTCCTTGTTGTCTCCTATGCAGAAGCCGCACTGCGCCTGGATGCCAATCCTTAGAATATCTCGGTGATGGGTTGATGAATGGGGGCCAGTGAGGGTTGATGGATGGGGTCATGGTTGGGTTCAGGGAGCCATTGTGCCATATTCAAGGCTGGTGGTTCTGATGAAGTCCTTGTTGTCTCCTCCTCTGTCTGCAGAAGCCGCACTGCGCCTGGATGCAATCCTCAGAATATCTCGGTGATGGGTTGATGAATGGGGGCCGGTGAGGGTTGAAGGATGGGTTCCAGTGAGGGTTGACGGATGGGGTCATGGTTGGGTTCAGGGAGCCATTGTGCCATATTCAAGGCTGGTGGTTCTGATGAAGTCCTTGTTGTCTCCTCCTCTGTCTGCAGAAGCCGCACTGCGCCTGGATGTCAATCCTCAGAATATCTCGGTGATGGACGGAGATCACGTCACCCTGGATTGCTCCATCCTCTCCCGGTCCCGGCCAGAGTCCAGCTGAGCGTGTCCTGGTCCTTCCATGGTGGAATCCGGAGTACGGAGCCAGAGACCATCCTAAGTACAGACCGCTCCGGGGTCTGGGGCCCACTCAGTCCACGCTGGGAAGGACGACTACAGCAACTCCAACTGTCCCCAACCGCCTTCAAGCTGCGCGTTCCTCGGGTCACCGCAGGGGATTCTGGGAACTTCACCTGCTCTGTACAGGAATGGATGATGGGAGCGCGGGGGGACTGGTATCTCCTGGCTCAGGATGAAGCTCTGATTGGATCAGTCACTGTGAAGAACAAAGGTACGATGGGGGCACGGAGAGGGGGCGGGGGGGGGGTATGAGTATGGGGGCACAGAGAGGGGGCAGGGGGATGAGTATGGGGGCACGGAGAGGGGGCGGAGGGGCGAGCATGGGGGCACGGAGAGGGGGCGGAGGGGATGAGCATGGGGGCACGGTGAGGGGGGCGGGGGGCGAGTATGGGGGCACGGAGAGGGGGCGGGGGAGCATGAGGCACGGGATGAGTATGGGGGCACGGAGAGGGGGCGGAGGGGCGAGCATGGGGGCACGGAGAGGGGGCGGGGGGATGATGCATGGGGGCACGGTGAGGGGGCGGAGGGTGCGAGCATAGGGGCACGGGAGAGGGGGCGGAGGGGCAAGCATGCAGGCACGGAGAGGGGGCGGAGGGGGTGAGTATGGGGGCACGGAGAGGGGGCGGAGGGGTGAATATGGGGGCACCTATCAAGGCGGGCGGACAGCACCCTGCTGGCCATGATCTGCCTGCATTGCATAGAGAAGCACAGAGACCCAGTGATATCAGTATAAAATAACAATGTAAAGGCTTTGATATGAAATGTCGTCAGCAGTTGATGATGGGGGCACGGAGAGGGGGGAGGGGGAGGGAAATGTATAAACAGATTACACTCGGCTTTGCAGGCTTGTATAGACAGGCGTTGTCTGGCTGCGTTTGATGTGAGCCGAGGGGCGCGAACGCAAACATGCAGGTCAGAGGATTCGTCTGTCAGCGGTGCTGTGCGGATGACGCTTCTGGAGCTGTCTGAGCCGGCTTTGTGTTTGGATACAGCCGCTCCCGATGAGATTAGAATTCATCTGAGCTGCACCGCGGCCAAATGCGGAAGGCAGTGTGAGGAAAAATCTCAGCAGTCCTTGGCCTGGAATAAAAAAATATATATGTACAGTGAGGAACAGAAGTATTTGAACCCCCTGCGATTTCTGCAAGTTCTCCCACTTCTCCATCATGGAGGGTCTGACATTCACATTGCAGGGGATTCCCACTCTTTGCAGGCTTGTATAGACAGGCGTTCGTCTGCTAGGACAGAATTCAGGAAATCACATTGCAGGGGATTCCCACTCTGAGGACAGAATTCAGGAGTCTCACATTGCAGGGGATTCCCACTCTGAGAACAGAATTCAGGAGATCGGCCACATTGCAGGGGATTCCCACTCTGAGGACAGAATTCAGGAGATCACATTGCAGGGATTCTGATTCCCCCACTCTGAGGACAGAATTCAGGACATCACATTGCAGGGGATTCCCACTCTGAGGACAGAATTCAGGAGATCACATTGCAGGGGATTCCCACTCTGAGGACAGAATTCAGGAGATCACATTGTATGATTTGTAAAGAATGTATTTGTCTCGCACGGCTGAAACAGAAGTATTTGAACCCCTGAGAAGATCCGTGTTAATATTTGGTACAGAAGCCTTTGTCTGCAATTCCAGAGGTCAGACGTTTCCTGTAGTCCTTGGCCAGGTTTGCACTGCAACAGGGATTTTGGCCGACTCCTCCACACCGATCTCCTCTAGATCTGTCAGGTTTTCGGGGCTGTCGCTGAGCAACACGGAGTTTCAGCTCCCTCCAAAGATGTTCTATTGGATTTAGGTGTGGAGACTGGCTAGGCCACTCCAGAACCTTGATATGCTTCTTATGGAGCCACTCCTTGGTTCTCCTGGCTGTGTGCTTCGGGTCGTTGTCATGTTGGAAGACCCAGCCACGACCCATCTTCAATGCTCTGACTGAGGGAAGGAGGTCGTTGCTGAAAATCTCACAAACATTAATGGCCCCATTCATCCTCTCCTTAATACAGTGCAGTCATCCTGTCCCCTTCGCAGAAAACCACCCCCAAAGCATGATGTTATGACCACCCCCATGCTTCACAGTAGGGATGGTGTTCTTGGGATGCAACTCATCCTTCTTTTTCCTCCAAACACGACGAGTGAAGTTTAGACCAAAAAAGTTCTCTTTGGTGTCATCTGACCATGTGATGACATGACTTTCCCCATGCCTCCTCTGGATCATCCAGATGGTCATTGTGGAACCTTCAGACGGGCCTGGACATGTGATGACTGGAGCAGGGGAACCTTCAGAACGGGCCCTGGACATCCTGATGACAGGGGGCGAACCTTCAGACGGGCCTGGACATGTGATGACTTGAGCAGGGGAACCTTCAGACGGGCCTGGACATGTGATGACTGGAGCAGGGGAACCTTCAGGGGCCTGGACATGTGATGACTGGAGCAGGGGAACCTTCAGACGGATGCCTGGACATGTGATGACTGGAGCAGGGGAACCTTCAGACGGGCCTGGACATGTGATGACTGGAGCAGGGGAACCTTCCGTGCAATGCATGATTGGAAACCATGACGGCGTAGTGTTCTACTGACAGTGACCTGTGAAACTGTGGTCCCAGCTCTCTCCATGTCATTGACCAGCTCCTCCCTTGTAGTTCTGGGCTGATTCCTCACCTTTCTTCTCATCAGTGATCCCCCACGAGGTGACATCTTGCATGGAGCCCCAGTCCGAGGGAGACTGACAGTCGTCTTTAGTCTCTTCCATTTTCTAACAATTGCTCCAACAGTTGATCTATTTTCACCAAGCTGCTTGGCAATTGCCCCGTAGCCCTTTCCAGCCTTGTGGAGGTCCACCATTTTGTCTCTGGTGTCTTTTGTCAGCTCTTTGGTCTTGCCCATGGTAGTAGTTGGCGTCTGACTGACTGTGGGGTGAACAGGTGTCTATAGAGCTCAGGCAGGTGCTACTAAGTGAGATGAATGAGTGGAGTAGAGGGGGACTTTATAAAGGTGCAGTAAACAGGTCTTTGGGAGCCAGAATTCTTGCTGCTTCTCAGGGGTTCAAATCCTTCTGTTCAGCCGTGCGAGACAAATACATTCTTTACAAATCATACAATGTGATCTCCTGAATTCTGTCCTCAGAGTGGGAATCCCCTGCAATGTGAATGTCAGACCCTCCATGATGTAGAAGTGGGAGAACTTGCAGAATCGCAGGGGGTTCAAATACTTCTGTTCCTCACTGTTCCTCACTATATATATATAAATCTGTTGTCACCCTTAAATAATCCGATTCCTGCCCGATATCGGTCATCCAGCTCTATCTCCTGCTGGACCAGCCTGTCCAACTCAGTCACCCATTGCTCCTGGGGTCGTTCTCCCAGGAATGGCATCCATAACTTCTGATGGTCCCTGGCCCGGTCCCCTGGGGTTGGATAGCACTTGTCCTTCTCCATACCAGCAACCTGGAGGGCTCCACTCCAAAGCACCTCCCAAATCCACTGCCTGAGCTCCAGGTACTCATCCGCAGACACAGTCCTGGGGTATGGTGCAAGAACGATCCTCAGCAGCCCCGGGAACTCTGATACAGGTCCATATCTCCACTGGGGTGACCGACGTCTCCTTTCCTGATCTTGGATCCCGGTGGTGGTTTGGACGTGTTCACAGCTTGGAAGCACAATCCCACCGCTGCCACCAATGTAACGGAACGGACCCCCGACTGCCACCAATGTAACGGAACCGACCCCGACTGCACCAATGTAACGGAAGGGACCCCCGACTGCACCAATGTAACGGAACGGACCCCCGACTGCACCAATGTAACGGAACGGACCCCCGACTGCACCAATGTAACGGAACGGACCCCCGACTGCACCAATGTAACGGAACGGACCCCCGACTGCACCAATGTAACGGAACGGACCCCCGACTGCACCAATGTAACGGAACCGACCCCGACTGCACCAATGTAACGGAACCGGACCCCGACTGCACTAGGGTACTTCCGTTAGGATACCGCTTCCCCATCCGAACACAGATCCACGGACACCACCGCTGATCATACAAGACTAGACAACACCAGACGTGGAAGGATTCCAGGAGATAGACTGCTTTATTTTAACATAGATACAAGATATATACACAGGGCGGGGAAATACACCCAGTAACAGGAAACACATCAGCAGGTGGTCCCATCAGGGTGAAGTGCTGCAGGAAACACCCCCCACCAAACCAATACACAAACACATACATCCCATAATAGTTTGCTCCCAAACCAGACACACAATAGAACAATGGGACCACATGGCAGTAAACAATGACCAACCCCCCCACCTATATACATGTCTACACAACATCAGGACAGATCACCCTGCACCCCTAACAGACACAGGGTGACTTACACATAAGAGGGGTATGGGGAGCTGAGACAGGGGTCTCCCCACCTATCCAAAGAGGGCTGTGTTCCATGGGCCCCCCACCCAAAGTGAGCTGTGTTCCATGGGCCCCCCACCCAAAGTGAGCTGTGTTCCATGGGCCCCCCACCCAAAGTGACTCCCATCACAGTTTCCTTTTTAGTTCGTTTCCTGAGAGATAAACGAAACAATGTTTCCTTTAATTTGTTTCCTGAGATAAAGGAAACATTGTTTCTTTTATCTCGGGAAACAAATTAAAGGAAACATTGTTTCTTTTATCTCGGGAAACAAATTAAAGGAAACATTGTTTCTTTTATCTCGGGAAACAAATTAAAGGAAACATTGCTCCAGGGAAAGTGACAGCTAATAGTGAAGTAAAAAAAAAAAGCCGGCAAATGCATTTAAAAATCGGCGCCGGCATACACTTCGTATTGCGAAAAAAATTTGTAAACCGAAAATGACGTTAACTGAAGCATTTGTAAACTGAGGTACACCTGTATTTTTATTGTATTTGGGTTTTTTTTTCTTGTTTTTTGGGGGGTTTTTTTTTTTCTTTTTTGGGGGGTTTTTTTGGTAACCATTTTCTTAATTTTTTAAAAACATTTTCTTTACAATAAGCAACAAATTACAGATGCAAAAAAAATGTATGTATTTACCTTATATTAGTTACAATAAATTATTATTATATTTTTTTTCACCTGATGATCCTGCCAGTAACACCCTTCCTGTCCTAGGTGACAACCCTGTATTACTGGAGGTTCAACGTTGTCACCCTAGGACAGGACGGCAGCTGTCAGACTTCAGGTGACGTCTGATGATACCCGAGCTGTCACTCAATGTGTCACTGTTTGTTCCCTCCCCCGCAGAGTCTGACCTGCAGTCCGTCATCTGCTCCAACGACGCCCTCTTCTACCTGGTCTTCTTCTACCCCTTCCCCATCTTCGGGATCCTCATCATCACCATCCTCCTGGTGCGTTTCCGGAGCCGGCCCTCCAGCAAGACGGGGGAGGGGAAGAACGGGGTGCCCCTGCTGTGGATCAAAGAGCCGCACCTCAACTACTCGCCCACCTGCCTGGAGCCGCCCGTCCTCAGCATCCACCCGGGGACCATTGACTAAAGGGGGGAATGCTGCCCGTGCCGTGCGCCGCACCACCTCCAATAGGGGCCAAACTCATTTCAGCGGGCGAACCGCGGAGGACGCTGGGATATTTGTGCCGCGCACCGAAACCTTCCTTGTGGGTGGAGCCAAATAAAAAAAAAACCTGTCTGCGTGCTTTACGGAAAGAAGGGCGACGCAAAGGACTCTGGGACGTCGCGGCTTCTCTCTGACGTCTCGTCGCCATGTGTAGGATCTCCCGTTGGACGCCCGCCTGGGAGCCGTTGTCTGATTTGGGTTGGGGGGGGGGAGGGTGGTGGGCGTTTCCCTCAAGCAGCAGGAAGATTGTATTGACTTTGAAAGCGCACTTCACCCCAGGGACATTGACGTGGCCCCCCCACCCCAAGGGCCCCGCCGGGATTGCCAGGTGTTGCTTCCTGTGGACCATTTTTTTTTTTTTTTTAATGTAAATCCTGTTTTTATCCCGTGATATTTCCTGTATGTTTTTATTTGTTGCACTGTTGGGGATTTGGGGGGGCCTGCTGGATTCCGGGGGTGGCCCCCATCCTTTGCCGGGGTGGGGGGAGTCCAGTCTGTAATACACTCCAGGAGTGAAAGTATTTAATGAAGATTTTTCGGGGAGTTTTGCTGACTCCGCCTTCTCTCTGAGATCCGACCCCTCCCCCCGGTCTTCCTAGGACACGTGGGAGGGCGGCCATCTTTGTGTCTGGTGGATCCGTACCCCGAGTCTCTTGCCAGTTTCTCTTCCAGGTTCTCGATTTTACATTTGGTTCGAAACCGTTTTTACTGAAATTTTTTCTACGCCCGCTTCTTCCTCCCCACACAGCGAAGCCCGCCCACGAAGAGTCTTCCTTTTTTTATATACGGATACATTTCAGTTCTGGTTCTGCCATTGGCTAAGACGGGGATTGTACATATGCTGGGCCGTCGCCATACATGGGGGGAGGGGAGGGCATTGTGTAGCTGAGCTGTCGTGACTCACCGGTGCCGCTTACTGCAGCGCGTGTGCTTCTCCCCCCTTCACGTACTGGAGAGTTGGGCCCCAAACGTTGGTGCGCATAGGGGCCCTTGTAGCCATCACCCCCCCCCCCCCCCCCCCCTTTTCATTTTGTGGTACATTGCACTGACTTTTTTTTTTTTTTATGACTTTCATTTGACAACAGTAAAGTTTTTTGTGTCGGTTTCCTGCTTGTCTGGGTGTCATCATTTGGATAAAGATTGGGGGGGGGGGGGGGGGGATGGGGGGGAGGGATGGGGGGGGAGGGATACTTCTTATTGAGTCTCGTTATTGTAACATTGACTTGAAAATCCTTTTTTGAAGGGGCTCCCGTAATATGTGCTTGATGTGTCCTATCTCAGGAGTGGGGGGTGGTAAATTTCAGAAGAAGTTGTAGACTGTACTGTTGCCATGGTTGCAGCAAGCCCCTAGGTCACTAAAGCTCTGCAGGGGATGGACTAGTAACGTAGGGGCACAGCTCTGCGGGGGATGGACTATTGACGTGGGGGCACAGCTCTGCGGGGGATGGACTTGTGACGTAGGGGGCACAGCTCTGCGGGGGATGGACTATTGACATGGGGGCACAGCTCTGCGGGGGATGGACTATTGACGTGGGGGCACAGCTCTGCGGGGGATGGACTTGTGACGTAGGGGCACAGCTCTGCGGGGGGGATGGACTATTGACGTGGGGGCACAGCTCTGCGGGGGATGGACTATTGACGTGGGGGGGGCACAGCTCTGCGGGGGATGGACTAGTAACGTGGGGGCACAGCTCTGCGGGGGATGGACTTGTGACGTGGGGGCACAGCTCTGCGGGGGATGGACTAGTGACGTGGGGGCACAGCTCTGCGGGGGGATGGACTAGTAACGTGGGGGCACAGCTCTGCGGGGGATGGACTTGTGACGTGGGGGCACAGCTCTGCGGGGGATGGACTAGTGACGTGGGGGCACAGCTCTGCGGGGGATGGACTTGTGACGTGGGGGGGGCACAGCTCTGCGGGGGATGGACTTGTGACGTGGGGGCACAGCTCCGCGGGAGAACACTAGTGACGTGGGGGCACAGCTCTGCGGGGGATGGACTAGTGACGTGGGGGCACAGCTCTGCGGGGGATGGACTAGTGACGTGGGGGCACAGCTCTGCGGGGGATGGACTAGTGACGTGGGGGGCACAGCTCTGCGGGGGATGGACTTGTGACGTGGGGGCACAGCTCCGCAGGGGAACACTAGTGACGTGGGGGCACAGCTCCGCGGGGAGAACACTAGTGATGTGGGGGCACAGCTCTGCGGGGGATGGACTAGTGACGTGGGGGCACAGCTCCGCGGGGAACACTAGTGACGTGGGGGGCACAGCTCCGCGGGGGAACTCTAGTGACGTGGGGGCACAGCTCCGCGGGGGAACTCTAGTGACGTGGGGGCACAGCTCCGTGGGGGAACTCTAGTGACGTGGGGGCACAGCTCCGCGGGAGAACACTAGTGACGTGGGGGCACAGCTCCGCGGGGGAACCCTAGTGACGTGGGGGCACAGCTCCGCGGGGGGGAACACTAGTGACGTGGGGGCACAGCTCCGCGGGGGGAACACTAGTGACGTGGGGGCACAGCTCCGCGGGGGGAACACTAGTGACGTGGGGGCACAGCTCCGCGGGGGAACACTAGTGACGTGGGGGCACAGCTCCGCGGGGGGAACACTAGTGACGTGGGGGCACAGCTCCGCGGGGGGAACACTAGTGACGTGGGGGCACAGCTCCGCGGGGGAACACTAGTGACGTGGGGGCACAGCTCTGTGGGGGATGGACTAGTGACGTGGGGGTACAGCTCCGCGGGGTAACACTAGTGCGTGGGGGGTACAGCTGGGGGAACACTAGTGACGTGGGGGGTACAGCTCCGCGGGGGAACACTAGTGACGTGGGGGGTACAGCTCCGCGGGGGAACTAGTGACGTGGGGGGTACAGCTCCGCGGGGGAACACTAGTGACGTGGGGGGTACAGCTCCGCGGGGGAACACTAGTGACGTGGGGGGGTACAGCTCCGCGGGGGGGAACACTAGTGACGTGGGGGGTACAGCTCCGCGGGGGAACACTAGTGACGTGGGGGGTACAGCTCCGCGGGGGAACACTAGTGACGTGGGGGGGCACAGCTCCGCGGGGGAACACTAGTGACGTGGGGGGTACAGCTCTGCGGGGGATGGACTAGTGACGTGGGGGGTACAGCTCCGCGGGGGAACACTAGTGACGTGGGGGGCACAGCTCCGCGGGGGGAACACTAGTGACGTGGGGGGCACAGCTCCGCGGGGGAACACTAGTGACGTGGGGGGGCACAGCTCTGCGGGGGATGGACACTAGTGACGTGGGGGGCACAGCTCCGCGGGGGAACACTAGTGACGTGGGGGGCACAGCTCCGCGGGGGAAACACTAGTGACGTGGGGGGCACAGCTCCGCGGGGGAACACTAGTGACGTGGGGGGCACAGCTCCGCGGGGGAACACTAGTGACGTGGGGGGCACAGCTCCGCGGGGGAACACTAGTGACGTGGGGGGTACAGCTCCGCGGGGGAACACTAGTGACGTGGGGGGTACAGCTCCGCGGGGGAACACTAGTGACGTGGGGGGCACAGCTCCGCGGGGTAACACTAGTGACGTGGGAACCCTAGTGACGTGGGAACCTAGTGACGTGGGGGGCACAGCTCCGCGGGGAGAACACTAGTGACGTGGGGGGCACAGCTCCGCGGGGGGAACACTAGTGACGTGGGGGCACCCTAGTGACGTGGGGGGCACAGCTCCGCGGGGTAACACTAGTGACGTGGGAACACTAGTGACGTGGGGGGCACAGCTCCGCGGGGGAACACTAGTGACGTGGGAACCCTAGTGACGTGGGGGGCACAGCTCCGCGGGGGAAGTCTAGTGACGTGGGAACCCTAGTGACGTGGGGGGCACAGCTCCGCGGGGGAACACTAGTGACGTGGGGGCACAGCTCCGCGGGGGAACCCTAGTGACGTGGGGGCACAGCTCCGCGGGGGAACACTAGTGACGTGGGGGGCACAGCTCCGCGGGGTAAACACTAGTGACGTGGGGGGCACAGCTCCGCAGAGGCGCACTGGTAACCTAGTGGCCCACAGGAGGCAAATAGTGGGGCCCTCCGGAGGCAAATAGTGGGGCCCTCCAGAGGCAAATAGTGGGGCCCTCCAACACCCCTCCATGAGAAGATTCTTTGGTTCTCCCGGCAATGTAACAAGTAATAGAATCGTGTCCAGCAGCTTCTATATTCCTCTGGGTACAAACCGGCGGCCCTCCAGCTATCGCCAAACTACAAGTCCCATGAGGCATTGCAAGACTGACCGGTACAAGCATGACTCCCAAAGGCAGAGGCATGATGGGACTTGTAGTTTCTTAGCAGCTGGAGGGCCCCCAGTTTGACACCCCCACCTTAGAGTGAGGATTCTGCAGCCCCTTCCACAGATCCCGGGAGATCAGCCTGGAGAAGAGTAGAAGGCGGACAAGGATGCCGGAAGGAGTAGAAATCTGAGCAGACATATTGACGCATCTCCTATTTGTATAGAAGTCGCCTGACTACACATGGAGGTCTCTCCATCCTCGGGGACATCGGCAGAGGTGTGGTGTCACCGCAGCCAGGAGCTCCAAAAGCAGCATGGGAAGGGTACTGGTGTAGGCACACTGGACCCGCGTGACTGTCAGATACTGTCACCTGTGAACTCATGGAAGATGGCTGACCTCGGGGCAAAGACAGCGGCCTCTTTGTCAAGCCTGCTTCTGATAGGTGGCACAGAGATGAGAGATACTGAGAGGAGCAGCGCAAGACCACTATAAATGTTCTGCTGCACCCCTGTTGTGGTCTTGCGCTGCTCCTCTCAGCATCTCTCATCTCTGTGCCACCTATCAGAAGCAGGCTTGACAAAGAGGGCGTTACCTTTGAAATGCGTTGCCTTTGCCCTAAGGTAAGCCTACCACCTCTTTGTCAAGCTGCCCATAACAGGTGACACTACAGAGATGAG